CCTCGCTCAGTCAGTCTTTGTTGCGTATGCGCAACATGGCTGACTGCGTTCTTCCCCACCCGGTCACTCCTTAAGGTATTTTCTTTTTCCCCCTCCTCCCGACCATCAGCTCTTCCTATGATCAGCTGTGTGGGGATTCCCCTCGCTCGCTTCCTGCTTCACCCAGGAGGCTTCCCTGAGGTCCAGGAGGCCCCAAAAATGAGGAGAGGGTGCTGCAAAAAAAAAGAAGCCATGCCCACCTAGTCACATGGCCACACACCCCTGGCCATACCCACCTAGCCGCGCCCACAGAACCGGTTGTGACCAAATTTGAATCCCAGCTCCGTTTAGGAGAAGGAGGACCGTGGGGTCCTTGGTGCTCTTTGAGCCGGGTGGTTCTCTTGCAAACGTTTCATGATCCAACAAGGTAACGTCATCAGTGCTACAAGGGAGTGGGGTTTGCGGAGAGGAGGAGGAAAAGGAGGACTGGGGTCCTCGGTGCTCTCGAATTGGGTTGTTTTCCTGCAGATGTTTCTTCACCCAACTATATAACATCATCAGGGGGTGAGGGTTTTGTGGAATGGAGGAGAAGGAGCAGGGGAGGAGGAAGGCCATGGAGCCCTTGGTGCTCAGACATTTCATGACCCAACTAGGTAACATCCTCAGTACTAAAGGAAGTGAAGTTTGCAGAGAAAAAGAGAAGAGGAGGGGAAGAACCGTTGGGCCCTTGGTGCTGTCAGAGGTTTGTTATTTTCTTGCAGTTGTTTTATGAGCCAACTAGGTAACATCAGGTACTAACAGCTACAGAGTGAGGTTTGGGAGGAGGAGGAGGAGGAGGAGGGAGGAGGAGGAGGAGGAGGAGGAGAGGAAGTAAAAGGACTGTGGGCTCCTTGATGCTCTCTGAGCTTAGTTGTTCCCTTGTAGAAACCATCATAAAATGCATGTGACTGCAGGATGCTGCAAATTGCTAGGGCTGCTTTCTGAGCACGCAACATGGCATATGGCAACAGGTGTGTGTGTGTGTGTGTGTGTGTCAGCTTTTGAAAACAGGTTGTAAGTACCGCTACAGAGGTCCATTGTAACTTCAAATGGTTGTTAAGTCATTGTACTGATTGTAAGTTGAGCATAGCTACACATCATTCAAAAGAGACAATGAAAAAGCTAAAAAGGAAACAAAATAGACCGCGATGCAAACAGACCTCTCCAGCAGTGCACACACAGATAAGCAGGGATTAAGCCCAGATAAACTTTCAAGCAGAAAACTGCTCCATTCAAGGAACCACCGGGGAAAAAAACAGTGTTTTCTCGTCAACCCTGGCAGGGCCAATCCTTTCTGGCATTGACGGCGTTGCCTAGCTGGGTAATGAAATGTCTGCAAGAAAACCACCAAGCTCAGCACCAAGGACCCCACCACAGTTGACATCGTCCTCTTCATGATGGCGTTACCTAGTTGGGTAATGAAATGTCTGCAAGAAAACCACCAAGCTGAAACAGCACCAAGGCTCCATAGTCACCCTTCTCCTCCTCCTCCTCCTCCTCTTCCTCCTCTCCACAAACCCCACTCCCTTTTGGCACTGATGATGTTACCTAGCTGGGTAATGAAATGTCTGCAAGAAAACCATTAAGCTCAAAGAGCACCAAGGACCCCACAGGCCTCCTCCCCTCTTCTTCTTCCTCCTCCTAATCTCCACAAACCCCACTCCCTCCTACCACGGATGATGTTACCTAGTATGGTAATGAAACACCTGCACGAAAATAACCAAGTTGAAAGAGCACCAAGGACCCCGTAGTAGTCCTACTTCCCCTCCTCTTCTCTCTTCCAGCACTGAGGGTGTTACCCAGTTAGGTATCAGAAACAAGGTTGGGGAAACGCTCTGTCATTCCAACTTCTTGGCTGAGTCGCCCCCCAGTCTTTTGGGGGGCTTCTTCTGGACCTCGAGGTTTTCTTTGTTGGCAGAGTTTCCCCCCCTCCCTCTGTTTGTGGATGATGGGTTGTTTCTTTGACGTCTGCCCCGCAACTCCTTCGAACCCCTACAGATGTTCGAAGCCTGTGGGTCATAAGAAGTGTGGTTGCCGCTCTGTTGCTAAAAGCAGGCTAGGTTGGAGGTCAAGAGATGGAGAGGTTGCAGGTCACACCTGCACAGGTAACCTTCTCTGCAGGTGTCCGGACTCTGGCACAAGAAGGAAGGCTTTTTTTGCTATCATGAAGAAACGCTTGGACCCAAACCCCATCCAGGTCTTCCTGCCGTGGGTCAGGCTTGAGTCATCTTCCTGGGGTCCTGATTAGAGACCCACAAGCTCTCGTGTGGGACAGGAGCTTTGGGGTTTTTTTCACCCAATCTTTTTTGCTTCTATTCCTTGTGAAAAAGCTCCCTCTGCGCCCAGAAGACGTGAAGTTGTTCAGCTGAGGACCTGTTGCTTCCTCTCTCTCCCACCCCCCCGCCTCAAGTGAGGGGAGGAAGGACCCCTCTGACTTCAGCCCCTCCCCCTCCCCACCGATGGAGCAGACCGTTCTGTCACTCAGTACAGGTAGTCCTCGACTTACGACCAGATTTCCCTCATAAACATGGCCATGTAGTCAGTCGTGTCTGATTTTACTATCTTTTTTCTGGCTGTTCACAAATCGCATGGTTCTTGAGTGAATCCAGTTTCTTTTATGAATTACACGGTTGTTAAACAGAGCCAGTGATTTTTCACAAGTCACACCGTTGTTAAGTGAATCCAGCTTGTCCCCCATCGGATTATCATACACCCCCCCCAAAAAAAATATTTACACGTGACAATCACACAATGCCACAGCTGTCACGAACACACGTCGGGTGCCAAGCGCCCAAATTTTGATCCCGGGACTGCAAGGACGTAAATGTGAGGACTCATCGTAAGTTGCTTTCTCCATAGCCATCGTAATTACAAACGGTCGCAACTCGAGGACTACCTGGATTGGAAATTCTGAGGAGGTGGTAAGAACCCCACACAGCGATCCCTCCTTTTATAAGGTGAGCTTCCCACAATGAACGAATGTTAGAGATTTTGTTGCTAAGTGAGACATTTCTTAATCAAAATTTGCCCCATTTTATGACCGTTCCTGCCCCAGTTGTTAAGTGAATCATCATAGCGGTTAAATTAGTGACACAGTGCTCAAGTGAAACTGGCTACCTCAATATTGGCACAATTTAGTCATGGTGTCTGCCCTGTTTCTATCTTTAACCCATCTTTAGATGTGTCAGACTACACCTCCCAGCCTCCACGGCCAATGGTGGAAGTTGTAATCCCATCAGGTCACCCAAAAAGTCATAATCCACCTTTGTCCCCAGCTTCCAACCCACAGGGCAGAATAATAGAATGACAGTGTTGGAAGGGACCTTGGAGGTCTTCTAGTCCAGCCCCATGCTCAAGCAGGAGACCCTCTACTATTTCCAGCATATAAGGACTCTCTGGGGTGCAGTGGTTGAGTGTAGTACTGCAAGCTACTTCTGCTGACTATCAGCTGCCTGCAATTTGGGCAGTTCAAATCCCACCAGGCTCAAGGTGGACTCAGCCTTCCGTCCTTCCGAGGTGGGTAAAATGAGGACCCAGATTGTTGGGGGCAACAGGCTGACTCTGTAGACCACTTAGAGAGGTCTCTAAAGCACTGTAAAGCGGTATATAAGTCTAAGTGCTACTGCTATTGCTATATGGCTGTCCAGGTTTGAGAAATTCTCTTCTGGTGTCAGACAAAAGCAACCAGGACTGGAGGCTAAAATGTATGATGAACGGTTGCAGGAACTGGGCATGGCTAGTCTAGTGAAGAGAAGGACCAGGGGAGACAGGAGAGCAGCCTTCCAATATTTGAGGAGGGGCTGCCACAGAGAGGAGGAGGGGAGTCAAGCTATTTTCCAAGCCACCCAAAGGCCAGACAAGGAATAATGGATGGAAACTGGCCAAGGAGAGATTCAACCTGGAAATATGGAGAAACTTTCTGACAGGGCGAACAATCAACCCACGAAGTTGCCTTCGGAAGTTGTGGGAGTTTTATCATTGGAAGCTTTCAAGAAGAGACTGGACTGCCATCTGTCAGAAATGGTGCAGGGTCTCCTGCTTGAGTGGGGGGTTGGAGTAGATGACCTACAAGGTCCCTTACAACTCTGTTTATCTGTTCGTATGAAGATTGGTTGCAGAAATTGGGTCTGTCCAGCCTACTAAACGGAAGGACGAGGAGCGACATGATAGCCTCTTCCAATATTTGATGGGCTGCCACAAAGAAGAGGGGGTCAATTTATGTTCCAAAGCACCAGAAGGCGAGGACAAGAAACAACGGATGGAAACTTATCAAGGAGAGAACCAAACTGGAATTAAGAAGAGACTTCTTAACAACGAGGACAATTAACCAGTGGAACTGCTTGACTCCAGAAATTAAAGGTGCTCCATCGTTGGAGGTTTTTAAGAAGAGGGCGGACGGGTGTTTGTCTGGAAGGGGATAGGGTCTCATGCCTAAATGGGTTTGGACTAGATGACCTCTCTTCCAACTCTGCTATTCTATTCTTTTGTATGTCTTGCCTCCACCACTGGAGGCTTTCAAGAAAACACTGGACAGCCGTTTGTCTGAAATGGTGAAGGTTTTCTTCCTTGAGCAGGAGGTTGAACTAGAACAGGGGGCCTCAACCGCGGGGCCGCGGCCCAGTATCAGGCGGTGGCCCATTCGAAACCGGGCAGGAGAAATGCCAGGCGAGCGTATGGGTAGCTGCATTTGCGTGAGCAGCAGCCAACTGGGCGTGCAACACCAAATGTGCGTGCCACTCGCGCGGAAGCATCCCCGCCTTCCTCCACCGGTCCACAAAACTGGAAAAGTTGGAGGACCACCCGACTAGAAGACCTCCCCAAGGTCCCTTCAACTCTATTATCCTGTATTCTGAACGGCATCCATTGAAGCAGAGAAAACCTATGGACCTTGTAGTTCCCGACCTACGGAACCCGGGAGTGACAAGGCGGGAGCGATAGCCGGAAGGAAACACAACAAGCAACGTTC